TTGGACTGCTTGTCACCTCCGTCAGTGCCCCAACTAAGTCCAGCCACCTGACCAGAAAGCCTTCCAGTGCCACTGTGCTCTGTGCAGCCCTAAGCTGCAGGCACGTTGGACTCCACCTCCCGAAAAGCAGCCAGACCTTTCAGTGCTGCCCTCTCTGGGGGCCTGGCCTCTGGTCCCCTTAGCCTCTGCCCAGGGATCTCCTCCTCCAGGCTCCCCTCCTTCCTCCACAGGGCCCTGCTGCCGGGCTGTGCAGGTGCTCAGTTTATCCTTCTGTGGGTTCCACGTGCCAGGGCAGCAAGGAATCCTGGTTCATTCCTACAGTGTCCTCGTCCCTGGCTCTCGGGGGGCTTCTCCCATGCTGTTGAGTACTGTTCACCATGTAGGCTTCCCGCACGAGCTCCTCTGCAGGCCCTGTGGAGACTGGCAGGAAGAGCCTCAGCTAATCCAGCACTTGTCGGTTGAGCTGCTCTACCAGGGATCGGAGGTGCTGGAGTGGCACAGAGTAAGGTTTGGCCTCTGCCCTTCAGGAGCACAGGCTACTGGGGTGGCACAGACCCAGCAGTCCTAGGACAGCACGTGTGGCACAGGGCAAGGGACAGCGTTCAGAGATTCCTTTTGCTTCCTCCTTCCCAGAGCTCCCACCCCTCACGACACCAAGTTGCCTCGACTGCTGCCACTCTCTTCACCGCCATGCCTGCCAGGGGATTAGGCAGGTGTTAGATACCTGAGCTCAGGTGGGCCAACCAGGAGTTTGGAGTAGGGATGCCAGGGTGGGTCGCGGTCATGTAGAGGTTCAGATGGAAGCTACAGGAACTGAGAGCATGGTGTGCAACGAGGGGGCTGGTGAAACCCAGGCTGCCGGCAGGGAGAGACAGGTGACTGAAGCAGCTCTCTGCCTGTCCCAGGCAGCTGGCTGGCTGCCTGGGCGCTGTCCCCGAGGTTTCCTGGTATGATTCCTTCCTCCCTCCCTTCCTGGCTCTGTCTCTGAGGTTTCCTGGTATGAATCATTCATTCATTCCCCCTCCCCTCCCCTGAGGTTTCCTGGTATGATTCCGTCCTTCCTCCCTTCCTTTCCCTCTCCTTCCTTCCTTCCTTCCTTCCCTCCTTCCTTCCCTCCCCCCTTCTTCCTCCCTCCTTCAGTCCCTCCCTCCCTGTCTCCCCAACCCTTCACTTTCTCTTCCTCTTTCTCTGTGATACTGGGGATCAAACCCAGGGACTCTGTGTCATTGAGCTATGTTTGCAGCCCTTTTTATTTAGTTTAGACAAGGTCTTGCTAATTTGCCAAGTCTGTCTTTGAACTTGGGATCCTCTTGACTCAGTCTTCCCAGTTGCTGGGATTACAGGCGTGTGCCCTCATACCAGGTAGATTTCCACCTTTGTCCAAGCTAATTTTGGATGGGTTTTTGTTCCATCACATGAGAAAAAAAGGTGCAGGTCCAGGAGAGCTTGCTCCTGCTGGGCACGAGGGTCTACTGTCCCCAGGCAGACCTCGGCTCTTACTCTGAGACAAGGCAGTTTGCAAATATTTTGCTGCCTACTCATGGAATGGGAATTTTTGTGTTTTCTTAATTTTTGAAAACTTTAATGTTCACTTTATACAAAAATATTGCCAGCAGAGCTACAAGGACAAAAGAAAGGACTTGGTTTCTTCTGGGTTTTTGTTCTTAAGAGTACAGCTGCATATCCACCGGAAGCCTAGAACAAGCAGAGAGGAGACCAGGGGTCATTACAGCTAGCACAGAAACCTTGGGAAACCGCTGGAGCATCTGCTGCTAGAGACTACCTCACTGATGTTCCAGTCCTTGAGCAGCTTCAGCCTGAGGCCCTCAGAGGCCCACCTCCCCTTTCTTCCCCCAGATGTCTCTATACACCCTTAGTGCAAGTGATTTCCCGAGTGGCTTTGACTGCAGCCTGTCCATCTTGGTATAATATGGCATTTGTTTTCTCATTGAAAACTTATTTTTTTTTTGGTACTGGGGATTGAACCCAGGGGTGTTTAACCACCAAGGCACATCCCCAGCCCTTTTAAAATATTTTATTTAGTGACAGGGTCTCACTGAGTTGTTAAGTGCCTTGCTAAGTTGCTGAGGCTGGCTTTGAACTCGAGATCCTCCTGCTTCAGCCTCCCAAGCTGCTGGGATGCCAGGCGTGTGCCACTGTGCCCGTGGGAAACCTTGTTTTAACATCGCAGAGGTATGTCCACCTGCTGTTGGAGGAATAGCTCCAGTATTCCAAGCATCGCAGTGTTTAGTCGTGGCTTTGTTTCTAGTGTCGCCACATTTTGAGAGGTCCTAGTGCGTGATTGTTTTGCATCCACTCTCTGCGTGGTCTCGTGCTTGCTGACTTATGACTGGAGATGCACATACACTTTGAAAAGGTGATTTCTGGAGCTCCCCACTTAGGATGATCTAGCATGGGATCTTAATTTTTAGTGTTCTTTCTTTTTCTTTTTTTAAAAATATTTTTCAGTTGTCAATGTACCTTTATTTTATTTATTTATATGTGGTGCTGAGGATCGAACCCAGGGCCTCCCACGTGCCAGGCAAGCGCTCTGCCCCTGAGCCCCAGCCCAGCCCCTTAGTGTGCTTTCTTGTGAGCAGTCAGGGCTCTGGTGACTGTGGGGCTTACCTTGTAAGCTGTGACTCTTTTTTTCAAGCATTTTTTAAAAATTTATTTTTTAGTTGTACTTGGACACAATGCCTTTATTTTATTTATTTATTTACTTATATGTGGTGCTGAGGATCAAACCCAGGGCCCTGCCCGTGCTAGGTGAGCGCTCTACCGCTGAGCCCCAGCCCCTAAGCCGTGACTCTTGAAGCTCTCCCTGCAGCAGGGGGAGGACTGTGACTAGGGCCCTGGGCAGCTTCAGAATGGGGCGCAGGGAGGAGGGGCAGGACCCTCCCCAGGTTCAGCTCCTGCACTGTGTGGAGGGCAGCAGCTCAGAGACAGAGGCCCTGAGTTCCTGGTGTGCTTGAGGGGGTCGGGCGCCAAGGGCCTTGCCCTGGTGGGAGATGGACAGAGGGGAAGACGTGGTGTGTCCAGACTTCCTTGAGCTTGATGTCTCATGGCAGGAGGGCTCAGCTCCTCTGGTCCGTGAGGAAAGACTCAGCTGTTCTCTCGGATCCTGGTTCTGTGCTGCTGAAGTCTGTGGGGTTTTCTTGTCCTCGTCACCTGTCACCTTTACTGTAGGAGGCCAGTGTCTGTGGATGGAGCCCAGCACACAGCATTTTACCTGTAGGAAGTAAAGTAGCCCAACTCTATTTGAGAAAAACAATTTTTTAAACTGCATGTCACATCATCTTAGTAAGACAGTGACGTGAAATTTGGCATCGGGGACCTGTACCCTCTGGGGGTATAGGAGTCCTGCTCACCTGCTGCTTCTGCGCTCTGTCTCATTTCTTCCGCGTGTCTGTTGGCTTGCAGCTTGGGCCACACGTTGTATTTATCTGAAGATTTTGTCCTCGTTGTCTGCCTTTCGTCACAGTGTGGCGTCAGTGCGGGGTGTCCATTGGGTACTTATTCTGTGTTCTGCTTATCCAACTTCTCCTGCCGTCCTTGGGCACTGTTCCACTGGAGTGGGAGGAGCTCCCTCACCTTCTGAAGTCTGCACCGGGTTTTGCTGTTATTCTTGAGTATTTTCTTAGTGTCAGGACTTTTTTCCCATAATAGAATTTCTTTAGGAAGGTCACTCCCGGAAATTTTATATTTATTTTCTTTCTTCTTTCTGGCTTAAAATCAACTTTCTTGTATATAATGTAAGCTGAATCTTAATGTTTGTGTACATATGAGCTACCTGTAATTTAATTTTTTTAATTTTTGTTTTTTGGTACTGGGGATTGAATCCAGGACTGGTCTGCCATTGAGCTACATCCACAGCCTCTCCTTTGATTTTTTAATTTTGAGACGGGCCTGGCTAAGTTGCCCAGGCTGGCCTTGAACAACTCCTGCCTCAGCCTTCCAAGCAGCTGGGATGACACGAGTGCACCACTGCTCCCAGATTTGCAATTTCATTTTACCTGTGATTTCTTTTTAGTTCAGGTCATTTGATATTCTGTCCCTCATGAATAGTGCACAGTGGGCCAGACGGCAGTGGCTCCTGTGGTGTAGACCTGGAGGAGTTCAGCTCCTGTGGTCGTGGTGCCGGGCCCTCGTGTCTGCCCTCCCTCCGCCTCTGTGGAGTCTTCTGATGCGGGCACACGTACCAGATTCTACAGCAGTACAAAGACCCTGCTGAACATTGCCTCTTCACAGAGTACTGTTACTCGGTTTGTCTTTGAGTCCTCAGCCTCTGTCACAGTGCGCGGAAATGCCTGTTCTGTGCACATGTGACGGGGTTGTGTTGGACTTCTCTCCAGCCTAAGGGCCACGCAGATGTCACCGTGTCAATCAAGTTAGTAAGCTGGAGGAGAGCTTACTCTGCTGCCATGTCAAAGCTGTTGCCTCAAGTTTGGGAGGTGTCCCTTTGATTTTAATATGATTTCTGTTTCCTCTCAGAGTTTATGAAAGCTTGTCTCTAGAGGATTGTAGGCCCCTGGAGGCCGAGGCCAGGTCCTGACACTACCTTTGTTTTTTCTATTTTGTCTCTACCTGGGTAGCAGGGCCTCTGCACTTGCTGACTGACTGGAGGAAGGAGATAAACACAGCTCCTGGCTGTCGGGGGAATTTAAGTCTGTGCCTTTTATTACATTAGGCTAGGAATCTTTTTAAGGCCCAGCATACGGTATTTATCTCCATCCTCAAGAATGGATCTGATTTTAGGAGAAACTTGGTATCTTATGGTAGTATTTAGATTAACTTCCTTGGAAGAAGAGATCTTCATAAGCCATAAATGTTAAATAATGAGCTCGTTAATTGGCTGGGTCCCTGGCTGCGCATTTTGGGAAACTGCTGTTACTCAAGTGAGAGTTGTCAGGATCTGGCAGCTGCTCAGGTCTGTCTGCATGTGGGTGTTGCTGTTCTTTACCTTTTTCAGCTGAGAGCCCCTCTCTCTGTCCCTGCAGGTTGCCATGGCTGCCGTTGACAGCTTCTACCTCTTGTACAGGGAGATTGCCAGGTCTTGCAATTGCTATATGGAAGCACTGGCTTTGGTTGGAGCCTGGTACACGGCCAGGAAAAGCATCACCGTCATATGTGACTTCTACAGTCTGATCAGGCTGCACTTCATCCCTCGCCTGGGGAGCAGGGCAGACCTCACCAAGCAGTACGGAAGATGGGCCGTCGTCAGTGGTAACCTGATTTAAAACCTAACAGTCTTTTCTGTTTAGGGTCTTTTAACTCAGCCGCTTTACTTCAGGGGCTATTGAATTTAGTGATTTCGTGGGAACATGCTGTAAGAACAGTTAGGATTCCTGATATGATTATGTTCACATTTTTTTTTTCTTTTTTGGGGTACTAGGGAGTAAGCCCAGGGGTGCTTTACCATTGAGTCACACCCCCAGCCCCTTTTGTTTTTAATTTTGAGACAGGGTCTCACTAAGTAGTTTCAGGCCTCACTGAGTTGCTGAGGTTGGCTTTGAAGTTGGAATCCTTCTGCCGCATCCTCCTGTGCCTGACAGTTTATGTCTTTTTACTGCCCCTGTCACAGGAGGACCTGGCCTTGTGTGATTCATATTTTTCTTGTCTCCCACCCCACCCCCCATCCAAGGCCTGCTGCAGCTCGGCTTTCTCTCTCTCTTTTTTTCTTTTTTGCTGTTTCCATCCTGTCCTTAGAGATGGTCACCACTTTCAGAAATACTTCACCTATTTTAAATTTTATTTTAATTTATTGTGTCCCAGAAAAGTTTCTTCTGGCACCCATACAAGCCAGATGGGCGTTTGGAAACAAGTCCTGCCGTGTTTCTCAGCGTGGCGGGAGTGTGAAGTGCCACACGCCTTGCCTGTCTGTCAGGTGCCTGGAGAGCAGTCCCCACACATCATTCACGTTGTGGAATCAGCTTTGGCCTTGAAGGACAGACACTAGAACTCTCTATATTTTTAGTGTGACTTTCTCTCTAATTAAGCCTGGCAGTGGGGTAGTTGAGATTCATTGCAGAAGGCTCTGAAGAGCCTATTCCTGTTTCCTGGCTTGCATTGTAGGTGCAACAGATGGGATTGGAAAAGCCTATGCCGAAGAGTTAGCCAGCCGAGGTCTCAACGTTATTCTGATGAGTCGGAATGAAGAGAAGCTGCGGGCAGTTGCCAAAGACATAGCCGACACCTACCAAGTGGAAACGGATATCATAGTTGTGGACTTCAGCAGGGGCCGTGAGATCTATGTTCCTATTGCAGAAGCCCTGAGGGACAAAGACATTGGCATCTTGGTAAACAATGTGGGCGTGTTTTACCCCTACCCCCAGTATTTCACTCAGGTCTCTGAGGACAAGCTCTGGGACATCATAAATGTGAACATCGCCGCTGCTAGTTTGATGATCCACATAGTGTTACCGGGAATGGTGGAGAGAAAGAAGGGTGCCATCGTCACCATCTCCTCCGGCTCCTGCTGCAAACCCACTCCCCAGCTGGCTGCGTTCTCTGCCTCTAAGGTCAGGCTTGTTGGGAGTGGAATTCTGACTGCTGACAAACGTCACGTCTGCCTGGAGGGGCGGTCTGTCAGCAGCTCATGTTTGCTTATGATAAAAAGTCTCTTTTTTTTGTCCTGCATTTTCTTTCAAGTTCCTCCCACCCCTAAATTAAAAGTCTTCTCCTCACTCTTGACAGGCCTACTTAGACCACCTCAGCCGAGCGCTGCAGTACGAGTACGCCTCTAAAGGGATCTTCGTGCAGAGCCTCCTCCCCTTCTACGTGGCCACCAACATGGCTGGACCTAGCAGCTTTCTGCACAGATGCCCCTGGCTGGTGCCTTCACCAAAAGTATATGCACATCATGCTGTCTCTACCCTGGGGATTTCCAAAAGGACCACAGGATACTGGTCCCACTCTATTCAGGTAGCAGTGTGCTTTCAGTTCTTAGAACTGGGTGAGTCTGAAGCCTCATGCAGAAAGAGGAGATTGGAAATTCTGATTCTTAAACTTCACATCTTAAATAATTTTGTTTAAGACATTACGTTTTCTTCAGTGGGATTATTAAGAATTTTCAAAACTTTAATTGGGTGACACCTGAAACATGCTGCTTTAAGTTAACTGGATGGTAGAAATATAAAAATGCTAATTATTTACATGGGAATTTAGAGTAAAGACTCTAGCTGGGCAGGGGGTGCACTCCTGTAATCCCAGCAGCTTGAGAGGCTGAGGCAGGAGGATCGTGAGTTCAAAGCCAGCCTCAGGAACTTAGCGAGATCCTGAGCAACTTGGCAAGGCCCTGTCTCAACATAATATATAAAAAGGGTTGGGGATGTGGTTCAGTGGTTAAGTGCCACTGGGTTTAATCCCCAGCACCAAAAAAAAAAAAAAAGATTCTAGTGATGCTGGCGGGAATTGGGGGCGTGCTTCTAATCCCAGCTACTTGAGAAGTTGAGGCAGGAGGATCACAAGTTTAATGCCAGCCTGGGTAATGTAGCAAGACCCTGTCACAAAAAAAAAGCTGATGATGAAGCTGATGATGGTAGAGAGCTTGCCTAGTGTGCATGAGGCTCTGGGTTTGTTACCTAGTATTGAAAAAAAAAAATTCTAGTAATGCTTAAAAGGGGGTACCTCTAAGTGAACAGTCAATCCAGAGCAAAACTACCAGTTAGGTCTATATTTTATACAACCATATGGCAAATAGTGTCTTGGAATATTCTTAAACTCATTTGTTCAAGCATAGAATTTTTAAAAAAGTTTGTTACTCAGACATGACAAAGATTTGGGTCTTTTAGGAATATTTTAATTTTGTTAAATATATGAATTGTGATATAAGGGAAATTTATAACGATAAATTTATAATGATAAATTTGTGTTTCATTATTTGGCATAGAAAATAGGTGTGAGCTGGGTGTGGTGGTGTATATCTGTAATTTCAGCCACTCAGGAAGTTGAGGCAGGAGGATCACAAGTTTGAGGCCAGCCTCAACAATTTTTTGAGACCCTCAGCAATTTATGTAGCCCCTGTTTCAACATAAAAAATAGAAAGTACTGGGGATGTAGCTCAGAGGTAAAAGCACCCCTGGATTCAATCCCCAGTATCAAAAAGGAAGTACTTGGCATTTTCTTAATGATAACACAAATATTTTGGGGACTGTTTGCAAAAGATTATTAGACTTAGTACTACAGACTCATTGTTTGTGTATTAGACTTACCACTCCAAAATAATCTCATACTAAATTAATAGTTAATTTTTACTTTTCTCAAAAGATGTGACTAAAGGTTTCTTATTTATTTATTTAATTTCATTTTTAAATTTATATATAACAGTGGAATGCATTGTAATTCTTTTTTTTTTTTTAAATATTACATGTGTAGAGCTCAATCTTTCATATCTCTGGTTGTATACTCACATAGACATACTCACATCAATTCGTGTCTTCATACATGTACTTTGGATAATAATGATCATCACATTTAACCATCAAAAGATTTCTGTTTTTAAAAAAGCCATTTGTCACCATTTGGGGTGAGGCACAGCTGTGATCCCAGCGGTTATGAGGGCTGAGGCAGGAGGATGGCAACTTATCATCGAGGCCCTATCTATCTAACAAAGAAAACAGAAAAAAACAGTGCTGAGGGTATGGCTCTGAGGTTGGAGCTCCTGGGTTCAGTCCTTAGGACCACACACACAAAGGAAGCAGTTTATCTAAGTGGCTATTTCCAGGTCCCTAATTACCTGAGAAAAGGGAGAAACCTAAACAGTAGTTTTAGGAGCCACTGACCTTGAAGTTCTCTTAGAAGTGAAGATGGCCTGAGGTGGGTTCAGGCACTGTCTGTGTGAAACACCATGGTTTTATTTTTCTCCACATTTTTTTTATTGGTGCCTTCAGAGTTGAAGCACCAGTGTTTTAATCACAACTGTGTTCCCATGATGAACTTTTCTCAACAACGTGTGTTTTCTGTCAAGACATTCTGTGAAGCTGATTTATCCCTAGAGTACTTTCCCATACAGAGTTGTTAAATGTTCTGTTCCACTTTTCCTTTTTTGATTTTATTTACTTAAATTATTTTCAACATTATCACTTTTTTTTTTTTAGTTTTACAATAGAGATTTGATTTGTTACTGTTTTGTCTCAAACATATTTTACTGGTAGCTTTTGCTGCTAACTTTTTTTTCTATTGTTATTGTTTTTTGAATGTAGTTCACCCAAGTCACAAAGATCTAGATTTTATCATGATTTCAATCCTGTCGCGCTTTAGTCTATGAGAAATTGAATATGCCAACCTGTGGTATGATGTTTTATTTTGTGCTGTTTACTTCAGTTTGTCATCTACATTGTGAATTAAATAAGCATGACCTTCTGTGTTTGCTGGTGGTGAGAGGAGGAGGTCGGTAGTGGCTGTGGGTGCTCGGCTTGTTGCCCGTCTGTATTTGCAGCCACAGTTGCACTAGCATCCCCCTCCTCAGGCTGGAGTGGATGGAGCAGGAAGGGCTGAAGGCCTGTGCTTTAAAAAGCTAGGATGCCATGGCCCAGATAGGTGGCACTGGGGGTGGGTCAGGTGTGAGGAGTGGAGGGACAGTGGAGAGATCAGGGGCAGGGACTGATGGGAGCCGTGTGCATGCTGGTTTCAAAGGTCCTGGGGAGTGTTTCAGAGAAGTGGAGGCGGCTGCTGACAGATGGGAGCTCAGGTGAGAGATCTGTCAGGAGACTTGGCTGCAGTGACAGCTGTGGGAGTGGGCCACATCCCCTGAGAGGGGAGTTTGGTGAGAGTCGCAGGGTGTCCAGCATTGGGGATCAGGGGGAGGTCCAGCAGAGGGGTATGGGGAAGCCAGGTGGGGACTCAGTGCACCTCTCAGGGAAGCTCTGCTTCTGCCTCTGAGATAGCTCCAGCACGCCGAGGGTGAGGGTCCGGGCTTGCGTGACTTAGGCTCTTTTCCATGCTTCCTGAAGCCTCACCTGCTTGGGCTCTGGGTAAGGTGTCTGCATTTTCATTGCTGGTGAAGATTTCCAGCTAGTCCTGTGTGTAAGTTTCTACTGACCTCTTCCTCCTCTTAGAGTCCCCGAGACTCCTGAACAGTGTGGCTTCAGGGGCTGCTCTGCTTACTTCAGGAGTCGCATTGGTATGGTTGCACAGGAGCGCCAGACAGACTGGTCAGGACCCCAAAATGTGAGACCCACCCAACCACCTCCAGTTCCCTTGGGTCAGTTTGGCTGGTCTTTCTCGCAGATCCCAGTATAGAGACCGTGGCATTGCTTCCCTGTAACTCGTCAACTGGGGGATCAGTGAGTGGGCTCTGTAGTCTGTCAGTACCCAGGGATCAAGTGCTCTCCTTTTCCCCTGGCTCCCCACCCTGCTGCCCAGGGTGTTCATACCTCTTAGAAATGCCCCAGAGAGAGAAATAAGACAGATGGAAGGGAAGGAAGGGGAGGCCAAAATAGTTTTTTTTTTTTTTTTTTTTTAAATCCTAAGGCCCATGCTTGTTGGAGGCCCATGCCATTTAGGTTTCATTTTGGGAAGAGGGCTCCCCGTGGCCCTGGAACACTCCCCCCTGCTGTCCCTGCACCCTCAAATATCAGGCTCTCTAAGCAACATGAAGAATGTCTGTGTTGTTGCAAATGAAAAATTAAGGACCCAGATGAACAAAGGGTAATTTTTGGTCCTGGGTCTTTACTCTGTGCCAGTGGAGTCTCCTTGGAACAGGCAGAACATACTGCCGCAGTCCGGCTGCAGCAGAATAATCAGGGGGGGTGACGAAGAACTTGTGTAGATTGATACAGCAGGAGTGGAAGCCGTTTATTGTAGGACAGGAGCAGTATTTATACTTTCCACACAGCTTATCTAATTAGCATAAACTAGATACAGCAGTCAACCAATCAGGAATCTCCACACTTAATGGCTCGCTTTTGTTACTTCTCAAACCACTCCCTCTGGCATTTTGCCAGGCACCATCCAGACTTGTTTACGAACTCTAACATTCCCCTGGCAAAATGCCAGGTGTTATTTTGACTTGTTTACAGACTCTAACAACATACCTTGATGCTGTTCCCCTGAAGTGGGCAAGGGCCAGGGGTGGGAATGAAAAAGCCGATTTTTAGATGCTGATTGCTCCCCCACTGACGGTTGCACAGGCCACACTGACGGTTGTTGGTGTGGCCTCCCTGGAGGTGCAGGCCATTTATTGAGAAGAGGGTCAGTGACCTTAGTCCCCACTTCAGTTCTTTCTGGGCTGGGACAGTGGTACCTACCAAGGGCCTTTCCATCCCTTTTCCTTAATATCTAAGCCATTAGAACTTTCTTGTGGTCTTGAACACACCTGTCATGTAGGGTTTTTCTGTCTCAGCACCATTTGAGTAAGTATTTCCTGGTTTGGGGGAGCTGTGTTGTGCATCACAGGGTGCTGGGGGACATCCCTGGCCTCCATGAGATACCAGTGGCATCCACTGCCAGTGTCACAGCCATGTTTCCAGACATTGCCATCTCTCCTCTGGGTTGAGACTTCTGGAACAGAATGGTAGCAGCAGGACTCCCTCTTGTTCCATGAGCCCCCTCGTCTCACCCTAGAGACCCTTCCAAAGTCCTGGTGTTTCTCAGTTCTCTTGTTTAAAGTTGCTCCAGCTTGCCCCCCCCCCCCAAAACTTGGTTTTCTCATGTTGGCCACGAATGCCTGTTTGTTCCAGCTGACTTACTGCTCTAGGGCTTTGTGATTCTCCACCCTGAACATGCCGTTTATACCACATTAAGTGAAGATGCTTCGTTGTAGAACAGGTGGTGCTGCTGCTGGTGGTTCTTCCCACAGGAAAACCCATGTCCCAGAGATAGGCCTTGGGGAGAAAGAAAGTGGCCAAAGGATGATGGAGAGGGAGCTCAGCTCACCGTCAGCTTCCCCTCTCCAGGGCGGGAGGCCAAGACGCAGGAGAGGAATGACAGTGACAGGGACAGGGACGGGCTGCCAGGGGGAGGAGAGTCGTGTCTTTCCTAGGAATGGCGCAGGCCTTCCAGGAGTGCAGTGGCGCCTTTTGTCTGTCCTTCCCTGCTCTGGTGTGTCTGTCATGGTGGGTGGTAAGGGTCCTTCACCTCAGGGGGGTGGGTGCAGGGAGACTGGGCAAGTCCAGGTCACGCTAGTCCTGGATGACAGTTCTGGATGACACCTGGTGACCACCCGCAGAGCCAAGTAGAATCTGACCCAAAGGTTACGGTGACCAAGGGGGACAGACGCAAAGTGAAGGCAGAGATGCCATGCCTCTTCATCCCAGGCCAGCCACCGGGGGCCACCTGCAGGCTCGAGAGAGGAGTCCGTGTCTTCCACAGAAGCAGCCTCAGGTCCCTAAGGAGTAATCTAGGTCACTGTTAACTCAGAGCCCCCACGTCAGACGTGATCCACAGCGAGGCCAGCAGGAGACCCTCAGTGCATTGCCCAGTCACGTGGCCATGAAGATTAGCAGTTCTAAGTCACTTAAGAGCAGGTGAAGCTGGAGGGTGTACTTGGGGTTTTCCTTGAAACAATGAGTGTGTCTAGAGTCTAGGGTAATACCTTATGGAGAGAGAGGTGTTCAGTACGTAAGTGCTCAGGGGCTTTCTCCTTTGAGTTTGAAGTGGTTGGAAGGTGTTCATTGGGTTAAATTGTGCTGATCTCTGCTCTGATTCCTTCAGTGTTGATGGTTTGAGGCTCTAACCTTATAACCCTTTCTCTTTTTGTCTTTAGTTTCTTTTTGCACAGTATATGCCTGAGTGGCTCTGGGTATGGGGAGCAAATATTCTCAACCGCTCCTTACGCAAGGAGGCCTTAGCCTGCAAAGCCTGAGTCCCGACCGTCAGTCAAGTTTTGCCAAGTCATGGTAACCGGCAGTATTCCGACATTTGGAAACACATTTAATTTATCTGATGTATTTTCTTTTTGACTGATGATCAGTGTGCTGTTAATTCATCATTTGTAAGGCAAAGTCTTGGAGAGCTGTGATAAACCTCCAGGGCCAGTGGATGGCGTGGAACAAATAACCCCTGAGTGTGGGAACTGGTGAAGACGCCTAGATGTGATTGCTTTGTTCCAAGCTGTTCAAGAGGGGTGTTGACATCAGAGCCACGGCAGCGAACGCTTATAACAGACTTGTCAGCGCTTCAGTTTCCGATGTCGTGTTTTAAGGGAAATGGCCTATTTTTCCTTTACAGATGACAGCAGTGTTAGTTTTGAAATGTTCAGTAGGAAGACTATTGAAAAGTGTTATTTTGTAACTGAGATCTCTGGTGTTAGCTTAGGAATCTGGTTGGGCTGCTGGAGGACCGAGATGCAGAACCTGTGTGCTGTGCTGTGTGTGAGCAGCTCTACACAGGGTTAAGTTACAAAAGAGCCTTGTCAGGGTGGGTAACGGGAATCTTCACGGGGTGATACAGACCCAGGCTCTTCCTTTCCAGACCAGACAAGCCTGCTGGGTTTGTGCTGTGGGTTTGCCTGTCTGCTGCTGCTTCCTCCATGTCGTTTGTGTTTCCCAGGTCTGGGGTGAGTGTGTTCCTAGACTTGGAGATCTAATGAGTAACCTTTAGTCACTATCTTTTGATTTGTAATTGTGCTCAAGTAGTGATTTCTGAACCTATGATCCATTTTATAACTGAAACTTAGCCCTTTTGAGCTTGTTATAGCTGGTTTTCATACACTTTTCTATGTAAAATGATTCCATTCCGGTAGTAGTATTGATATAAACATCAAGTATTTATGGAATAGTACTTAAAATATGGACAGATTATGTGTGTGATATGATGTATCTGTTGCAATAATGTTAGAAGCTCATTTTTTGGTCCATGTAATGAATTATGCATTATTGTGAGTACTTTTATTGATGTAATGATAATTATGCACAAACCCCACAATATGGATTAGCATTGACACCTACAGTGAAATGTCTTTAATTCAGATCCTATAAAGCCAACCATTTTTTGTGGGCCACATACCTAGCACTCAGAATTTATGTAAGTTTCTATATGAATATGGTAACATGGGCGGATTTAAAATTCAGAGCTTAATATCATGACACTGAAGAAGCTGGTCATTTGGTTGAGGCCAGGACTGGTGTGGGATCGTCCTGCTGTGAGGCCGTCTTCCACAGTATGCCTAAGCACACCTGAGTGTTGCACACACGTTTTTGCCTGTGACCTTCCTTGCAGCATTTCCAGATGTGACATGGATTCAGAAGATGAGTGGCTAAGTTCCCAAGCTCTTCCGCTCCTAAATCATGTCTTCAAAACACAGAAGTGGAGGCACAGTGCAGCTGGATCCTTGACTTCACACCACACTGATGGAATCTGCGCTATGTGTGATTGCAGCAGCAGCAGCTTTCTGTAGCCACGCTGTTGTGTGATTCTGTGTAAGCCAGGTCCCGGTGCTGTCTTAGGGTTAGGGATCAGGTGGGTGGCGCGGCACTGGTAAACACGCCTGGCCCGTGGTACTCTGAATTCTGCCCTTGGCAGGATGTCGCCAGACATGCCGACTGGTGCAGACTGGTCCCCAGCTTCAGGGGAAGAGCAAGACTGAATTTCCTTTGGTTTTCTAGCTTTCATAAAACACCACCTCCCCAAAGCTCACTTGAGAGTTGGTTGGTCACTGTGGATGGGGTCTCTTATTCAGAATGTGGGGAATCTGAACCTTGAAACTTGGTCTGTGAACTGGAAATGTAACAATAAAAGCAGTTGCTCTGTCTCCTCTGGAAGAGGCTTTGCTCCAAGTATTTCTAAGCTGGTTGGTTGGAAGGAGGGTTTCTCTTTTTCCTCATAGAAATGATTACCAAAAATCAACCTGTGAATACCTGTGGTCATAATTCATTAAAAGCTGAAGCTTCAGGAACATAATTATGTGTGACTGTCGAGGAAGCTTCTGAAGCCTCCAAGCTATTTTTCCATCTCGTCTCCGGAGGGTTGAGGAGGATGAAGTTGGGCTCAGCCACGGCACTTGCAGTGTGCAGACGGTGGGCGATTTGAGTGAGCTGTTTCGGGCGAGTGGTGGGGCTGAAGGAGGCTGAAGGCCAGACTGTGGTGGGTTCCAGAGAGTGGGGAGGAGAGGGAAGGGAGCCCCAGAAGACAATCCTGAGGGGCCTTTTTTGTTTCTCCTATGTCGAAGACAAAGTTCTGTTAGGTTTGGGATGCAGAGGGTTAGGGATATGTCCTCAGTCTTGACGCTCTGTGTTCCAGAACCATCTCCAGACTGTCCATTCCTCTCAGTACAGGCCCCAACCTAACAACTTAGGATGGTTCAGTGTACGACTCTTTGGCTTTACGATGGTGTGAATGCTAAATGTGATGATATGAACTGTATTTTGACGACTCTCTCCCAGGCAGGTGATACACACTTCAGTCCTCTCGAAATGCTGGGTGGTGGCAGAGAGCTGTAGCTCCCAGCCAGCCCTGTGAACACATGGTCACCATTCAAGTTGTCCTTTGGATCTGTGTGGGATCGGCCCAGGACCCCTGTGGTGCCCAAACCTGGGAAGCTCACACCCCTCATAAAATGCTGCAGTACTGCATACAGTTGATGCCTATCCTTCTGTATACTTTCATTGATCTCTGGGTCACTTATATTACCTAAAACTGTATAAATGTCACATGAAAAAGCTTTGTTGCTCAGGGAAGAATGAAAAGAAACGTTTCTACAAGTTCAGAACAGGCTCTTTTCCCAACTATTTTCAGTCCAAGGCTGGTTGAGTCTAGCCTGGGACCAGGAGGGCAGCTGTGCCTGAGTGTTGTGAGCGCTCTCGAGGCGGCCAGGTCTAGCCCTGTGCGTTTTCAGCTGAGGCGGTTTTCACCTTAGAGTAGCTTATTGGGCTGAAACCCCACTGTGAGACCGGGTGCATCTGTGGCTTGGCTGCTGTTCTCCATTTTGAAGATTCATGTGTTTAGTGTGTATAAAGCAAGGGAAGGATGTTCCAGATTCAGTAGAGCTATTCTGTAGCATGCTGTGGTGGCTGAGGGACCCAGAAGAGGCTTTGGAACCTGCACCCCAACATGTACAAAAGTAACAGAGTACCCCACCTGCCAGGGGGGTCTCAGGGCTGGGAGCATGTTTCAGAAATAGCCCGTGGGAGCTAACTGGTGCAGGCCCAGGGGCTGGGAAGCCAAAGGGCACCAGCTGGAGGCTGAGCTCTGCCGCAGGACCAGACATGGCGTGGGCAGTTCCTCGGGGGGGGGGGGGGGGGGGGCGGGGGGGGGCCCCCACGACGGGGGGGGGGGGGGGGGGGCCCGGCGCGGAGGGGGGGGGGGGGGTTGGGGGGGGGGGGGGGGGGGTGCTCAGGAGGTGCTTCCCAAGTCCTGCTGCTTAGTGTAGGCCACAGCAGCATCTGGAGACAGGGTCAGTTTGGCACAGTCCTGGAGGGAGTGTCCTTGTTTAGGGGTGGGATGGGGCTACTGCAGGTGTGGGGCCAGTTTAGACAGGGCGGTGAAGCTGCCTCATGGCCTGGTGTGTTGTGGGAATTCTTAAGGAGGCCATCATCAGGGAGTCTGGGTGGGATCTAGCCAGGCAGGACACGGTGCTCTCAGGCTCCGTTCTGCAGACACCACTGCTGCAGTAGAGGTAAGGCCATGCTGCTGCTCACAGCTGACCCCAGGCCATACAGGCCCCAGGAGTCCACACACTCCCTGGCCAGAGCACAGGATGCAGGCGGGAGTTGCAGATCTGCCTCGCCTGCCCTTGCTCTGTGGGTCTGGTGGCACCTCGTTTGTCTCCAGAACCACGGGTTCCTTTTTTTCCTGAGATGCTCAGAGAAGGGAGGTTTCCATCCCTTTATTGAGGAGCTTAAGAGCAACTGAAAACCTCAGGGGAGTGGTGAGGCCCGTGACAGGAGGTGGAATCCAGGAGTAAAGCACTTGTCCTTGAACAGCTTGCTCGTGGTCCGCCCCCAGGGATTCATAGGAAGCATGTTCAGGATGTGAGGACGTCATGAGGTTGTTGTGGGAGGTGGGCCCTTTAAGGCAAGGGGCCTCAGAAGCCACCACTTACAAGGGCTATGTGTTGTACCCTGTACACTTCACAACAGTCTCAAAACTGCCCTTGCTGACTCAGCACCTCAGGAGCGAGGTAATTGAAGAGTCGTCCCACGCAGCCTGTCCCTGTTCCTGTTTGACCTTGCTTGCCAGCCCAAATCTGGTTTTCACTTCCATGTCGCCGTTTAGGAAGTTTGCCAAGCTTGAGGTTTTTGTGAGTAGCTCAGATTTGGTGCATGGTCTGGTACTAAGGACAACCTGCCACAAACTTGGGGGTGCATGGGTGCTTTCCTCCTCTAGGGCAGCTCTGGGGAGACCTCTGGTGGCACAGCTTCAGCACCATGAACATGAAATTGTCCTGGAAGCCTACAGCCTGCTGGTGGGCAAAGGTGCAAAGGAGGATGTCTCCATGGGCATCCTCTGGTGCCATCTGGGCAACACTTAGGCACACTCTTGCCCTTGATGTCTATGTTGGTGTCTATGTTGAGATTTTGAAGCTCATGGTCAAAGCTGTCCTTGTCAAACAAAGGTCTGCACATTCTGCTGCTGGCTGTGCAGATCCACTAGGACCCTGTGGATCTTTTGAGTTGGTGGAGTAGAGCAGAGTGGAGCAGTTGCCAGGGCCTGAGAGATGCAGCTTGGGAACAATGGCTTTCCTGGTTCACCTGATGCCTGCACCATTAACTCTTACTCTTAAAGATAACATTGAGTTTGAATAAAGATCTACCTTCCCCTGGAATTGAGAATGCTTTGTTTTTACAAGAAGCAAGATTTGAAAAGTTATCTTAGACTTTGCAGTGGTGGAAAGCCACTGGTGGTAGACCAGATCCTTTAGGTCTCAGTTTTTCGTTATCTCTAAGTGACACTTCTCTGCCCTGTGCCCCAGCCCTCTTTACCTTACAGGCTTTCTCAGGAACTGGAGCATTGTCATCTTGCCCTGCTTTTGGGCTTCTCTGTCACATATGACAAGGATGTTTGCATCTCACTAGTGCCCTGTTCTGAACAGCTGGCCTGTATTCAATGGCATAGTGACTACAGGACTGTTGAAAAGAACCCAGGTCAAGATGAATTTACCCCAAGTTAGAACAGAATGACATCGTCAAGGTTAAGATCAAATGCATTACGTGGTGGCAGAAGGAAGTGCTTTGGAGATCTGCAAATGAAAAAAGAATCAAGAATTCTCAGAAACTTCATAAAATGGAATAAGCTGACTCTCGAAAGAACTTGAGTTCAACATTTATTAAATTATACATAAGCCAAGCACTTCCTTTGTGTTTTGCTCAGTCCTCATCTTTTAAGGTAGGTCTCAGTATCCTTGCTTTTTGGATGAGGAAGCTGAGGTACAAAGAAGTTAAACACCCTCAAAATTACAAAGCAGATGCCCGAGGTGGGATATAGTGTTTTGTGATTCTGTATGTATCCATTACATTATAAGTCAATGTGATTAAAGCATGCTAAAGGGAAAATGAACTGCTTGTCATATTGGTGTCATTCAGCATTCCTATGGTGCAGTGAAAGGTTCAAAAAAGAAAAGATGTGCTGTAGTTTTTTCTCATCTTACAGCACATCCTGACCCATTAGCATTGTCATATGCTGCAGTCCCTCAGGCTCAACTTTTAGATGGAAAACAAGCTGTCTTGGGCTGGGGATGTGGCTCAAGCGGTAGCGCGCTTGCCTGGCATGCGTGCGGCCCGGGTACAATCCTCAGCACCACATACAAAGATGTTGTGTCCGCCGAAAACTAAAAAACAAATATTAAAAAAATTCTCTCTCTCTTAAAAAAAAAAAAAGAAAGAAAGAAAACAAGCTGTTTTCCTATTGTCTAAATTACCCAGGTAATCTTTTCAGATCCTGGTTTCTTAAAGAAAGAAAAGATAAACGTTACAAAGGTCCTCCCGGTCTTTCAAGGCACAGGCAGCCTGGCACCAGGGGAGTGCTGGGCCGTCGTCAGGAGGCCCTCCCAGTCGACAAGCCCAGGCTGCTAAGGGTAGAGGAGGCTGCGTCCATGGCACTGAGGGGTTTGTACGTCTGCGTAGAAGTCGGGGGCATTTCAACCACCTCTCCACGTCTCAGCTTCCACACGCGTGTCCGAAGTAGGTGCCCCGAGGTGCCAACAGGCGATGGAAATGGGCGCCCCTAGCTGGGGAGGAAGGACAGTGAGGTTGCCTGGATGTGGACACCTGCAGGAAGCGATGGCGCTGGAGTGAGAGTTTCAGACGCGTTGACGGCAGGAGCTGGGGAAGGAGAGAGCTTTTCCCCAGCTCGGCCGCTGTCGCTGTGGGGCCGGGGCCGGGGCTTCCTAGGCTGCTCCACGCCCTCGCGGCTTCCTGCGAGTTGGCTCCGCCCCCTGCCCGCAAATGTCGCGAGACTTCGGCCCACCCTGCGGCCCGGGCCCGCGGGCCTGTGTCCGGAGCGCGCACGCAGGCCCCGGGCGCGCGGAGCACGCAGGGCACGCCCGCCGTCGGACGACGCTTCCAGCCGGTGGCCTCGCGAGAGTTGAGAGTAAACAGCCCCGAATGGAGAGCCGAGGAGCGTCCGCGGCGGAGGCGCCGTTACCCAGGGCCGCTCGGCCCCGAGCTTGAGGCGGCCGCAGGTACGACCCCGCACGCGCCCGGCCGCCCGGGCCGCCGTGTCTCCTACCCTCCGCGTCCGAGGCTCGAGACCCCGGGCTTCCCGCGTCCCGCCCGCCCGCACTGCGGCGAGGCGCGCCCGGGCCCAGCCGCCAGGCCCCGGCCAC